TAATACAGCAACAGCTGTGAATTTATCTATGGGTGGAAATCTTTTTTTTTTTTTTTAAGAATAATTTGATAACTTCATTTAGGATGTTATTATAACCCACCTTGTTTTTGTCAATCCTTAATCAGTTGGCAATGACAGACTTTTCCTTTTGGTCTTGATCACATCTGGATTTTTCTTCTGGTGAGCCAATTTCCTATAAATCTGTACAAATTCTGTATGTTTTCTTCAATCAGTTAAGAGGAACAGATCACAAGCCATTTTACTAAGAAAGTCGGGATAATTTTTCTTAGAGGGTAATTATAAAGTAGGGAAACTGAAGAACGGTAACATGAAGTAACTTGACCCAGTTTTCCCAGAGAACAGTGGCAGAGCTGGAGGGAGGTGACAGCTCTCACGGGCCTCGATCCTTTCATCCTCCATCCCTGGGATATCCTTGATGTCCGTAACGAGGCAGCTCAGGGATGTTGCAGGATCAGCCACGGCTGTGAGATAAATCCCTAATCAAACAAAGAAAACCTCACGTGGGCACTGAGAGGGGACGAGCCCATATTGCCAGACTCTGAAACTGTTTTGGAGCCCACAGGCAAGCAGGGGCAGTGGGTACCACTGCCATGAATATTCCTTGCTACTGCCTCATACCAGCAATGGAAAATTCTTTACTTACAAATCAAGACCTGTAAATAACAACAAGGAGAAAGGGGTAAGTAATTCTTCTACCCTGCCAAGAACCACCTGCAATTTGATGCACTGACGCACCTGAAAGCTGTTTCCAATTTTACAGGGGGACAGTTGGAAAAGCCTCAAAGTACTTTTTCTCTGCTCTAACTTGCACACTACAAAGAGGAACGAGGATATTACGCAGCATTGCAGAATCGATAGTTATTGTGGAAATTATTGGTTTGATGTCAGGGCCAATTAGCTGGAAGTGGAATTAGCACATACCCTGTGCAGGAAGACAAGGACATGTTCTTCCCTAGATGGGAAAGATGTTGGCTACGAAGGGCCTCCACACAGGTGTGCACAGAAACGTTGTAATGAGCGTCAGATTTCCCAATGCTGAAAAACCTAGCACCAGCTGCTTCTCTTGGCACACAAGAGTCTGCAGCAAGGACCTGATCTGTCCTGTACATGGCGCAAACTGAGAGTGGACAAACCTGCAGACCAGAGTGATGCTTTTCATTTGGATTTTACACCTAAAAAAGCCTATACTTGGCCAACCCAACTACTCATCCCATGTCAAAGAACCATGCTGGCTGAGGTCAACTCAAACACCATCTTATTCCTATACCTTCTCACTGTTGCCCTGACTTGTGCCAGCAGAAATTTTATTCCATGTTGCAGCTAGGATTTATTGCATTTCATGGACTAATCTATGCTACAGCTGGTTTTGCTACTGAGAAAGAGCTCAACACTTGCGATTAAGTCCTGCTGGAGGATTAAGTGCTTTGGAGAAGAAGGTAAGTATAGATGCAGGAGGGAGGAACATGCAAAGTTTGCCATACTAAAGGACATCAGCTGCACAAATTGTATTAAAGATCCAAAGAAGCAAGACAAAGGAGCTAACTTTCAGGACCTCCATGCAAGGTGATGTAAAACTGAATGTTTTTCCAGCAGCTTAATGCACACTTTGAATCTCACCCTAGGAGCAGCCAACACTGAAGAAGACCCTGCAAAGGCCAGGAGGGTGATAGCCCAAGGAGGGAGGCAGCCCCGGGGCTATGCCAGCTCTCCGTGCATACCCTTCTGCTTCTCTGGACCTCGACTCGCCTGCCAACCCAAACACCCCCACCTTGCATTCACAAAACCAGCTCCTCAGTTCAGCAGGGAGCTGGGACCCGTCACCACCGTCACTGAGCAACACAGCCCAAACACCACCCCGGAGAAAACGTGCAGAAACCTCTGCAGCAGCAGCTCAACCGATTCTTTCCAAAAAAGGCTTTCAGAGCCAAAGGGGACTTTTTCTTTTGGCTTATTAAAGCAAGTAAGATGCACCGAGTGGCTCTGCAGCCTGTGATCTGCGTGCGATGGTTGAAGCCCCTTTGAAATACAATAAACAGTACAGTAAAACTTGGCTTGTGTCGTTTTTTTGTGCTACGGTGCGTAACCCTTGGTGGGCAGCAGATCTCAAAAATGTTCATGTAAACTGCATCAACCCCTAAAATAAGGAGAGCTGCCCCGATGAACACTTGTGCGCAGGAGGTGACAGTGTCTGCCAGTCAGGGACAGCATTGAGGTGAGGATGGAGGGGTACAACAGGATCCCTTGAACCTACAGAACAACATGCAAAATTCCCTCACTGGGATAACTTGTGCAAATAATGTAATTTCCATGTATCCAGCAGTATGCAGTGAAACGCATCTGCAACAATTCCTCAGGATAGTTCCTCTGTTATTTTTTATTTTATTCTCGAACCAGCTCTGCATCCGTTTTGCTGAAGTGAGGCACCACTGTGGTGGTGGAAATGGAAAAAACTACTCATGGCTGTAGAAACACGGAGACAACTCAACTGGGGTGATCACCCATGTCCCAAGCTGCAAGACTCTCGTAACTGAAATCTGTGGAAATGTCACCACACTGACACCCAGCAGCTACAGTTAAACCCTGACGCCTTTGTGATTTACAATTTTGCAGAAACAGCCTTAGATTGTGGGGAGGTCCCAAAGCTGTGGCTAATACTGAAGTGAATGTACTAACGGTGCCATCCAGAGGTACTTGGGTGTAGCACACAGCTCTGTGTCAGCAAGGACTACCATACAAGTGAAAGAGAGGACCTATGCATAATCTTGAATATCAGGCTTCACACTAAACCCGCCATAAAATAATTACATTTTCTGCTATTTTTAATTTATCTTGCCATCAGCTTTGATTCACTTGTTTTCTTCTGTCTCTCCTTCAATACTGTGTGTTTTGATTTTCCAGGTATGCGAAATCAGTCATTCTTAAAAATACATATATCTCTGATCCCTCTTGGCAAACAAGCTATTTCATTTTACTCACAATTGCTAACAACAGGAATGGCACCGCATGCTCAGTTCAGAGAGACACTCATCTGTATTTCACTGTCACAGAATAGTACACGACTTCAGATAACAGCAACCACACATCGAAACAGGAAACATTAACAGTGGAAAACAATCTTTTTTCCCCATCTAGAACAGCGGATGACTCCCTTTCAGCTGTGAAGTCATGAATCAAACTTGATACAAGAAAATGTTTTTCCAGCATATGATTACACATATTTATATGTGTGTGTGTGTGTATATACAGTTTATGCCCGTTGCCTGAACAGTCTGAATGCAGCATCACCTGTGGCATATTTTATGATGGGCAAAGTATGTCACAGGAGGTATTTGTTCAGTAGCAAAGGTCTAATTTACCTCTGTGTGCAGAGATACCTTCTTCACTGACACCCATACCTGTGTGACACTAAGAAGTGGATTCACAAAGTGATCCCATAAATATCAGAGTAAAATTAACCACTGAATCCTTATTTTATCCTTTAGGAAATTAATGGGATTACATGGATTACAGACAAGTAATCCCAATAGAACAAACCATATACTTACTTTTTTAATCCTTAGGATTTTCTGAGCTTTATTCAGATAGGTAACTGATTTTGAAATGTAGCAACTTAAAGATACAAAAATACACAAAATAGAATACACTTTCATCTGTTTTATTTCTGTCTCAGAAATCATCACTTCCTGGTCTATTAGAATTAAGGCACTGGGTATTACTTTATCGCCTTACACAAACTAAAGGGCAAATTGAGAAACAGATTGACTTGAAAACTAATAAAATAACTTTCCAGGTAGCCTATGGCAAGCACCACTCTCACGTGCTGCATCGCACCCAAAAAGGCTATCCTTCTTGGACAGTCTTAGTATTTGAAAATCAAGAAAAACTGTAAAAATATGAACCATGTCAAATGACAGATGGTGCTGCTGAACCATGCCTACAACGAAGAGGCATGGTTATGGTTAAGAGGAGATTCTGAGTGTTATGGAATCCAAACGTTAAACGTAGGGACTGATGTCTGCACTGCATTTGGAGTCACCTTGAGCTGACCTCGACCCTAACCTGGCCTGAGCATCAGATGATGGATTCATTTTCCACCAGGCAACCCTGGACCGTGCCCTGTTTGCAACTGCACTCAGGTCTCCTGAGCTGCAGGGAGGTAGCTCTTGGGGCAGGGAAAGCACAGGATCGTGGAGACATGGAGAAGGGCTTGAGGGGTCATTTGAAAGAGATGAGTGAGCCTGCAGAAGCCTGCACTCTGGTAAGACGAGAAGTGGAGAAACAGCTCTCACATTCCAGACATCTCAGTGCTGAATACATGTCTGGAGGAAATAGCAGACATATGGAGTCCTTCATAAAGCTGTGAGATATGACCCACAGAGATCACTGAGTCGACAGTCTAATTTTATAATCTTAACCCTGCTAGAAGTTTCAGACACATCTTATATCAAGTGTACAACACTTTCACACAGCAGCAAAAAAAAAAAAAAAAAAAAACAAAAAACAAGAAACACACCAGTTCTATGCACTGTGATTAAAAAATTATAGCAGTAATTTGACAGAAAATATTTCTTAAAAGATCAAAGACAATATGTCTTCCCCTTCCTGTCACTTGCATACACACAGTGTTTTCCCAAATTGCATTTTGCAAATGAAACTGTCATCATCCACCCAAGCCTAACTGCTGCACAAGGAGGTGTTTGTTCAGCCAACAAACACGAGTGTACATTGATAGCAAACTTGTGCCAACAACGGGAAAAGATCTGGAAAAGGCACAGAAAAAATCTGGTCTTGCACGTTCGCTTTGAATGTGCACCGGGTTCCAGACTGTAACTCCTTTTCTTTCAGAAATTAATGTATTGTAAGGAAATGAGAGCATGGTGTCGCTCGGCTGAAAGGTAAATACAAAAATCATTACCTGCAGTTATTTCCCCTCTCTCCACGTTTTCCCCCATGGAGCTCGGGGCTGGGTGTGCACTGACCTGTACTTCCCTGTCCGCACTTGCAGAGCTCTCATACCGCACCGCTGGGCACCTCCTACATCATTCACAATATCATCTCCAATCATGATGGCCTGTCACAGCAATGAAATACAGAAAAACGGGCGTCAAGTGAATTTTTATTTCTGCCATACGTCACACTCCTTTGACATAACAAACAGCTTGATTTGATGTTTAATACTGCCATCAGACAAATTAAACAAGATAATATTGTCACCGTATTGATTAAGTGTCATCCTACCTTGAATATAATTCATGCTATAGCTCCTCGAGCAATGTAGTAGTGCAGTACACATCTGTACAATTCGTAGTCAATCACAAAAATCAAAGTGATTCAGCACAGTTCAAAGAAAATGTAGAATTTTATGAAGTTAGTCCTATTCTGTTCCTAATGATGCATTTGAGTTATGCTCCAAGCAGTTTAAATTAGGCTTAACTTTTTAAAAAATTCCTTAAAGTTGGTATTCTAAAAGCCAATCAAAAGCTTAAGCCTGTGACCACTGAGACGTGTAGCTTCGCAGAGCTTGGTCCCAACCCATGCTCAGGTTGATACAGAAATTTCGAAAACCATTGTAGAATCTAATTTATTTATTTTTGCACTATGTGATATAATATCTACAGGCCTAGCATGGCTTGTGTTACAGCCAGCTTAAGTCTATGCGAATACTAACAAATTCAATTGGGTAAATTAGCAAAAAAAATGTAACTGAGAACAGCCGTTCTGGCTGTGCTAAGATTTGTCTGAGTGTCTGATGAAAACATGTAGCACACATGCTCACTTCAGAGTTCCTATCTTTGTTAAAGATCTTTGTTAATTTGAAGTGTATCAACCAAGGCGTCTTTCTCATTAACAACTGCGTCTTCAAAAATTCAAGTGCTTATTGTCATCCTGCATTAAAAATTACTACATTTACTTTATTCTTAAAATTTAAAAATGGTTGGGGGGGGTTCATTTTAGAGTTTCAACAAAACCCAGCATATACACAAGACAGTAATCTTCAATGAATAAGCAAAAAATCAGCTTTCAACCTTCCAAAAGCATTGTGGATTACTCTGGACAGAGGCACCGCCTAAAACTGGGGAAACGCACCAGCTTTGAAAATATGTAATCTAGTTTATCTATCTGATTTTAAAGGCTGTTTTTGCACCTGATGTATCAAAGTTGAATTTTATCTAAAATCCATGAATTAGTTGCATCTTTAGCCACTTCATCTTGTTGACTTCATAAATGTAACTGCCAGGCTTTCACAACGATGGCACCCTGCAGCTCTAGAAATTCCTGCCTGAACTCCCGTTCCTCCCCAGTGCTTTTGATTATCTTCATACCTGCACATCAGACACACGGAGTCACTCTGCAGAGTGTTTCTTTTCTTACTAAAGAAATCGCCTTCATCCTTTGTGTGGTTTGAGCTTTTTCTAAGGTCTGACGTGGCGGGTCGTTGCCCCACGTATGGGGCTTGGGAGGTTAAAAGGCATGTTTGCAAGGGGACCAGGATTGCCTTAGATGGTGGCTGGGTTCCTGAGAGCAGCACCAAGGGGGACTCTGCTGGGCACGCACAGAAAGCCAACCCCACATTTTTCCATCTGTGGAGAACTGATAAATAGGCCCTTGTCAGAGAGGTCATGGGAACGAGGCGCGCACGGCAGAGCAGGCATCGGCTTCTCCAGAAGTGGCAATCGACGGGAATGCCGAGTCTTTTCTTACAGCTGGCTGCAGCTTTAAAGGGAAAAATCATACAGAAAGTCTGTGTTGCAGGCGCCATTCCAGTTACAGTTCTGCCTAATAGAAAATCCTCTTCTTCCCTTGCCTTCACGTGGAAGCACCCCTTTTTTACGTAGCACGCAACAATACGAGAGCCAGTTTGTCTTCTGTGTCACCCACACTTCAGTTTCCACTCTGTAAGCAGTCTGCTGGGCAGGACTAAATCATAAATACTGAAGAAGTCTAAAAATACTAAAGCTCCAGAGCTATTTTTATTAATCATCTAATTACAACAGAATCTTCTCCCACTTACTACATAGCACGCCAAGGAAATCTCAGGATATACCTAAAGACATAGCTGAACAGCTTTTCTGAGACCATTCATAAACCAAACTGAGCTACGAACAGATGTATCTGGAACAGCTTCAGCTGATAAAAACTAAATCCTCTTTTGAGTAAAGCATCAGGTGCAGTGTGCAAGATTATCTATAGCAGTTACTAGCCCAGTTTATCTTCCATGTTGTTTTTTAACACTGTTCACATGAGGGATGATCACCATACCTCAGGTTAGGGGATGTAATAGGATGCCCTCTTGAGCCAAGGCTCATCTGTCTGGTATCATGCTGAAGTAGCTTATTCTGAAACAGTTTATATAAGCCCACCCTTGCTTCATTCTGCCTAAAAGAGTCACTTTGAGAGCTGTGGCTAGGCTTTGAGAGATCCTTTAAGGAGCAGAGAGACATAAGGACCTGTGACAAAGGGGCCAGAGCTGGAGATGGAATGCCCATAGGGAAGGAGCAGCAGAGGCTTTGGGACAGGTACCTCTGCCTTTCCAGCTCTCTGCTCACAAACTGCTTTAAACCCGCCAGACAACGGAGGGCTCAGACTTTTCCATCCTTTATTGGACCATTTTCCTTATCCACTCTGCTCATGGAAATGCGTGTGTTCCTAATAAGATGCCTTCCCCTGTAGATAGTTCACCTTTCCTTACTACTCCTCCAAACAAGCAATCCAGCACAAAATGGGGAGAAAATAATGGGTTCATTTTAAGCAATTAGTAAATAAAGCATGTATACACAGATGAGGAAAACAGAATAATCCCACTGTTACATGCAGAGCTGCAAAGAACCTGGCAACATCACTCCCAGGCAACCATCAGTACCCATTTACCCTCAAGCTGCTTTAAGATATTTAATCATTTTTCACCACTGGCTTTAAGAGTTTATAATCCCCTCTTCTTATAAAATTCCTTCCAACACCTCCCCGAGGGGAACAGGGAACGTTCCCGCAGGGGGGACCCCAGGAGCAGACCTGCCCTCCACCACCCGCACGCTCAGCCTGAACCCAGGCATTCAGAATGAGATTTCTGAAGGAAAGACAGTTTCAGTCCTGGGTACTCAAAACTCTGCAAATTAATTTCCTCTGAAAACGGGAAAGGGCAGAGCGGGGCAGCCCACCAAGCACCCTCTTGCTCGCGGGGGCTGTATTTTACCCCGTCCAGGCAAGTTTTCCTGCAAGATGCCTGGCAGCTCTGCAAGTGCAGCTGCAGATGAGCAGCGATGCCTGTCCAGGCCAGCTTGTGGCATACGCATACAAAAACGTACTCCAGCCCCCAGGGATTTCACAGATTTACTATCGGTGAAGGGCAATAATCACTAAAGGAGGAGCAATTATTCCCAAATCATTTAGGATTTAAAAAATCATTGGCAAGAAGATAGAGGTCAAAAGGTGCACTGTCAAGGGAAATAAAAAAACTCTACCTGTCAAACCTGGGTTTAACTTCCTCTCTGACTGCAATATGGTAAGAAGAGAGAGAAAGATATAAAACTGAAAGGTCACATACCCACTGAAAGCAAGAATTAAAAGATCCCCGTTTATGTTCACATTTTACACAGGGATCACACCATTAATCTGTTCAATTATTCTGTAGAAGTCACTTCTTTTGGATCGGCTAAAAATTTACTAAAAAGAAGGGCAAAAATGCAGAGACAGTCTCTCTCATTTTAAGGCAAATCGTCAGAGAATTAAGATGGATGTAATTTATTTTCTCCTAAGCCACATAGCTGGTGAGAGATGGTGTGTGTGGTTGTAGACACGCAGTAAATAAAGCACACGTGTGCCAAAGCTGAGTGAAGCCACTGCTGTTGAACAGACCCCATCAAACTCAATCCAGATCAGCAGTGATAATGGAGGAGACAAACATGACCTCTAAGAATTTGGGGGTGGGAAGGCACAATACATTCCTCACCGGACAAACGTCTGTGGCACAGAGATCACCATCACTGTCAGCAATCTTACTGGTGGTGTCTGGGCCACAGACCCAGAGCTAGATGGAGGTGGGGACTGACTCCTCTCACCCACATAAGTAGCCAACACTAATAAGCCTTCAGAGATGTTGGTAGGGTGGTGAATGGGAACCTCCCGTGTCTTTTGTCTGCAAACAGAGTCTTAGAATTCACTAAGATCACAGAAAAATGTTTGATCAGAAAAGGAATTATGGAGTAAGAAAATTAATGAGGCAGAAAGACGGTACTTCTGTACTACCCAGTCATGCTCGTGTTGCAATGCAGTGTTTACTAGGACAAGCTCAGGTATGATACTTCAGAGGTTGAAGCAGAGGATGCAAATGAAGAGATGTACAGAAGGAAGTGTACTAACTTCAACAGAATATTTAACACAGTGAATGGTTCCAGAGTCAAACATATTTATGCCTAAACAGATTTTTGCTATAGGCTTAATAACCTTAATCAAGCTAAACATGCCAGGGACATAGGGATATAAAGCTTATACACAATATCTTGATTAATGGATTAAACCCCTTTACACAAGAAATATGATGCATTTACTTTTCTCCCTATTCTCCTTGGCCCAACCAGTAATCTCTTAGGCTTCAGGATTCCATATTACTGTTAAATAAGTTTCCATCTTGGAACTACTAGCTGTGCAAGCATCAAACACACAAAGGGCATTGCATGTGGCTTCTGATCTGAGAGAAGGTGTACAACAAGGCAGGTGAAACAAAGAAATACATTAAACCTCCGGGGCAGATTTCCAAAGGCTGCAGGGCCAGCCAGGTTTCAATAAGCTTCCAGCAGGACTCGAAGCTTGAAACTTCACCGGGCGGCTCCATTCTTCTTTTGGAGACGGAAAACCTTCCCCCATCGTGCCCGGTGAGCGAGGAGGGCATGCCAGGATGGTGGCGGGTCCGCCGTGCCACACTCGGGGTGACCTCCCTCTGCTCTCACGCGCCACTAACTCCCACCTGAGACTTGCAGGTGGCAGAAATGGGAATTGGTTAACTACCAGTAGTTTATGCACTCCAGTATGACCTGCCATAACTCCCATTAAAGCAGGGCAATTTGCTACAGAGAGAACTTTTTATGATTATATAAAACTACCGGAACCTTAACATTATTTAGGTTTTATTGTAAAGCTGTAAAAATCATCCACTGTTACAGCTGCCTTAAAACATATGAATTAGGCATTTCAGTAACCTTTAAGATGTGTTATTCTTTGTCATATTACTGAATCATAAGATAGGTCTGGTTACCTCTAAGAGGTTTAAATTTCCAATCTATTAAAGTAATACTGGCAATCTGTTATTTCTAGGCCATTGAGGAAAGGTTAAAATGAAAATTGGACTTTGGGGAGTTCCTCCTATTCTAAGTGCAGGTTGAAAACATCTCAGCAGCAGAAGGCAAAGTCAGGGTCTCCGTAAGAAGCAGTTATCAAGGGAAACGACTGGTGATAACTTTATTGATTAAAGCAGCTTGAGAAATTTAAGATTTGCCACTATCTAGAATTGCTGTGGTGAGACAGCTTTATTAAAAAGGTATTTTTCATTAAAAGTCAGGTGAAAGAAAATTGTAATATGTGTTCAAAAGCACAGCTCATCTAAAATGGTTTAATGATGGTATGGATTAAATGCATTCCACAGGTGGAATAAATTATTGGCAAACATTTTATAAAAGTAAAGGCAAGTAAAATCAGTCCTTGTCATGTCATTACAAATGCAGAGAAATGTAGCTCATTCAGGAGACATATTAAAACGTAACACAGTGCATTACTAAGGAACTCACTGAACTGCATATACTGAGTTTTTGTTGTGATATATAAAAAACTAAAACAACCTACAAATCCCTCTCAAAAGAACATTAAAGTTGCCAGGCCACTATCAGCTGCAAGGTCAAGTTATAAAAATATGTCAGAATTAAGGCAGTTCGCTCTTCTGCAATATGTTCTTCTCTGCACGTGTGTATCATGATTCAGGTTTTAACTCCAGCAGCATGGACTAATTTTTCTATAGTCATCACAGACTGACAGAACATTTGGGGTTGGAAGGGACCTTGAAGCCCATCCAGTGCCACCCCCCTGCCCGGGGCAGGGCCCCCTTCCCCCAGCCCAGGGGGCTCCCAGCCCTGTCAAAGCACGGCGTGACTGGTGCCATTAAGCAGTGGTGCTTACCGTGCTCCTCCTTCATTAGGCACCTTTCATCTCAAATATCTCTGAATACAAAAAATTACACCTACAGACTAGACATATCACTACAACAAATTGATGGTATTTAACACTAGAAACCATACGGAAGAAAAAAAAAATCTCTGCCAAAATATAAAGTTAGTCACTGGTAGTACTACAACACTATGGCAAACAGCAGAGAATGAATAAGTGATCTCTGCTGGGGACTGTTACTGCTTTTTTGTACCCAGAACAAATCCTCCTGAAGTTGATGGAAACCACTCACTAAGGCTCACTCTATGGGACCATTTTTGTCAGGTTGGTGATGCATTAAATCGAATTTGCTTCCTGGGGCAAAGTTTTTGCGACAGTGTCCTGTCGTACCCCTGCAATGACACCCTCCCCCAGTGCCAGGGGCTGACACGGTCCCGGCATAGCACGAGCTGGGCAAAACAGCATCTGAGGACAACCGCACCGTCCCACCCATGGCAAAGGGCCAGCGGTGCCACTACGCAGGGTCACTAGGATAGAAAACTCAAAAATAACACCTTTCCTCCTATTCCCGCACATCGATCGTTTCTGATCTAAGCAGAAAGGAAACACAAACTTTTAGGCATCCGATTTACACAAACAGTATCCAAGTGTAACAGTATAACATATATAACAGTATATATATACACACACACACATATATGTAACAGCATATATATAACAGTATCCAAGGGCTGAGCTCTGCAGGCTTTTTTTCCTCCTTTGTTCTTTTTTTCCAGCTACTTTTCCTTCAAATGCCACTCTACCTGAAATAGATTTTTTTGGTTTGTTGGTTGGATGAACAGACTGAATAATTGCCATGGCTGTACCCGGGATATTATGTTCAGGATGAGCTATCTTGTTACCGGGAAGGTATTGACAAACCAAAGGGAGTACAGAAAGGAGCACCGCAGTGGGATAGGGTGCAGAGGGACCGAATCACAAGGGAAGCTGCTGAGAGCCAAACACACAGTTTTAATAAGAGACAACTACTGTAATGATAACAAGTCTAGAGGTAACTGGAGGGAGAATATATCCAGGAGGACAAGCAGTTACTTTGGTTGTTACCTGGAGAAAAACTAAAAATAAGGAGATGCAGTTTAAAAGGGAAGTATCCCGATGAATGTCAGGAAAAGCTGTCTGCCCACGAGACCTACTTGGCTGTGAACGCTGTCCCCAGGGTATTTACAGGAGCCCAGTTGTTTGGCTCACTGAAAACTTCTCTGGACAAAACATTAATAAACATGGAGCAGGGAACGCTCCTGCACGGGGAAGGAGATGGATTAGATGGCCTACTAGGTCTTTTCCATCTCCCCACTCTATAATAAAGTAAAACCCAAGCATATACTGAATTACAGGGCCATAATTTAATCTCCAGGCTCTAGGGACCTACAAGCCACCCAAACTTCACTCCTGTTGTTTATAATGCCACCAAACCTCCCTGATGGAATTATTACGCTGTAATTCACTGCTGTCTGTTAGTCATCTCATACTCATCCTTATGTTCTGTGTGGCATAACAACAAATCAGTAAAGATGATCTGGGTACAACTACAGAGAGGGGAGAAAATGGGCTGTATTAAGTAAGCAGGGAGCATCACACATTCGGTGTGTTTCTGGAAAGCATGACAAATTCAATAACCTGCAAAGAGTTTTAGGGTCAGTCAGTGCTTCCCATTCACCTAAATTAGAAAATATTTCAGTTCTGCCTTTCCCTTTTACTAAAAAAAAAAGTAAGTCAGTGTGACACCAAAAGAAATAAATAACATTTTGGCTGCAATTCCACCATGCGGCAGCCTCCACTCCAAGTGGACTGCCAGGCATTGGGGCACCTCTCATCTTGTGAGGTACATCTTCCATAATTCCCTGGGAAACCTAACTTTTATTCCTTTGTATTGTTTTCTTTAGCCTCCAAATAAAGGAATTCCACAGCAGAAGCGCAAATTCTTTTGAACTATATCGTTTGGGAGGAAGGTGAGTAAGAAAACACAACACAAGGGTACAAGTAGAAGGAGAAACCACAGTAGAGAACGGAGAGATGGAAAATTCTATATTGGGTAGAGATATTGAGGGCACAAGTCAGAGCAAAGAGAGACAGACAAGGGGGATGAAAAGGGAAATAGCAGGCAGTCAAAAAGAACCCTCAAAAAAGCAGAGAAAATAATGTCATGCCTTTCAGGAGGGTAGGAAGTATGCACAGGGCAGAAGAAATTCAACAGGTCCCCTACCTGCTAGCATCTACCCTCTTGGCTGTCAGTTCTGTTTTGTCAACTTCACACTACTTGATAGAATGGGCAAACATGGGGGTTTTTCCCTCGGAAGCATTTTTTTCAACATTTTTTCTTTTCCTTTTCCTTTTTTTTTTTTTTCAGCGATTCATAGAAAATTCCCAAATATAAATACTACTCTGCACCATGTATAACACACTGGGTTTGGAAAAAACTATTTGTACATCTACTCAAAGTTTACCATGTCCTCTTGGCCACATTCCCTTCAACCTCTTCTATAACCTTCCATGAAAGACAGCAAATCAGAATAAATGCATCAGTGGGCAAAACTACATGGCACCACAGCCCGTGGTCACAGCATCAGAAACCTTACCTGCTGTGGTGGAACTCCCATTTCTGCTAAGGCTGACTCAAAAAACATTTTTGCTGGTTTTCCCACTACCTCAGCTTGAACATCACAGGCATACTGGAAAAAAAGGAGAGAGAGACACAGAAAAAATGCTGATCAGAAAAGTAACTCCAGTCAGTTGTATAAAAAGTATGTGACTGTTGATTTTTGTCCTTAAGTAACACGATGGATTAGCGGGTGAAGGTAAGTATTGGAGAATTTGGGTAACAGAAGTGTTCTCTAGCAGGAGAGAAAGTCCTCCTGAAACATCTCAAGTTACAAACCTGTTACATTCCCCATCATGAGAGCAGTCTTCAGACTCAGTTCCAATATTGCTCATTTTTGTAAGAGCATTGCTGTCGAAGAAATAGCAAATATCCTTCATATGAAATGATGAAAAGTACTGGAGGGCCTTAAGAGATGCTGAGGGTTTCTTTAACCGTCTGGCATATTTTTAATGGTTCAAGTGACCAGCCTGAGCTGAAAAGCTTTATTCTCCTGCAAGTAAAATATCAGTAGTATGCTAAAAAATTTGAATAAATAAGGTCTTTCTAACTTGTTCCTAGATAACCAGAAGCCTGAACTTATTTTGGGAAGCAAAAGCTCTCCCCAAAACTCATATGGATAGAAATGAATGTGCTGCAAGCATACATGATATCCACTATCTTCTGTGCTTGTAGACTCCCCTAATTTGCTTTATTCCCTGCATTCACTCTGTATTTATTTTTTTATCTCTCCGCGAGCCTATAAAAGGGACCGTAATGATTCCCTCCTCCTTGCACCCTTAGGTTGGCTTATCTGTTGAGTTCCAGATCTGCACAGACTGAATCAGGCTTAAAAACAGGACTACACTTAAGCATCTTGCTGAATAAAAGCCTTATGCTGTAAACTGTTAAGGTCAAGGGCTGCGTTAACAATGCTACACCAAATGTAAAAGGGACCTTCAGTTTTTCTTGGGTATCTTGTAGGCAATATTCCATGTTTTCCTTTTCTGGCTCCTTCTTTCACGGGCCTCACTTCCAATAAAGGTACCACAATGGTAAAAGTTCACATTCTAAATGAATTTTTTTAAATGAACGAAGCCAGAAACCAAATTAATCCACTCATCTTTAGAATGCAGCAAATGTGTTTCAATCTGTGGAAACTTCCTCCACCAAGGTGAGTAATTACAGAGGATGACCCATATTTATACCAGTTACTCTTTGAACAAGGTGCACAGAGCAAATAAGCATAATGCAAGCTATAAAATACCTCTAATGCCTTCATATATGCTCCAACATCAAGTTTCAGACCATCGGTTTCTTTATAGTAGCGTCTGGAAATGAAAGTGATAAAGTTCCAATGAAATGAAAACGTTGGCAGTTAAATACAAAGAAACCACATTTTATTATTTCTGTGCCTATATAGATGTCCATATGGCTGCAACAAAAAGTCAAGTCATCAGAAACTCTGGAGCCTTAATTTAACACCAGGAATTAAGTAAAGGACAGGCTCAGTACCGTGCAATGCTTGGGGAAAAAATCTCAGACCAGATGCCCATCTGGCATCTGGGACACACCTCCACTGGTTCAAAGGGATTTCAGCGAGCTTATATCAAGGATGAACTTGGCCTGTATTTTACTGCACACAGTGTTAGCTGCTCGCAAAGGACAGCAGTTACGTTGCTCTTCCTTTAATCAGCAACGGGGACCCCTTGGCAGATACAAGATGAGGGCTGGCACCAACCAGCAGCTGCAACACCTTCTTTGGTATATCTGGAAGGGGACCCCAAACAGTTGGCCATGATTGCTTCCCATGTAAGGAAAGCCAGGGCACTGTTTATTGGGACTAAGAAAGCCCTCCAAGCTCAATTTTGTTCCTTTGAAAAGTCTTCCTATTGCCATGAAGCTGAAAAAATTCACTAGTATCTTTACAATGTTTTTCTGGCATAGCAATTCACATTAACACAGGTCTTCAAAGCTCTCCTGATCAGAGCAAAGACAGGCTTCTATATGGCAGAGAAAAAAGGTAGGATGAGCAGTCAGTTAAGATTTTATGCCTTATCCTTCTGCCATTTTCGATTATTCAGCACAGCCTCCCTTTAAAATGACCACTTGACCTTTGCTAGAACAGCCATTAACCTTCTATAGTCTAGCGTAAACAGCTTAATTTTCTGACAGTGGCATGACAGAAGAAATTACAAAGCCAATTCCCACTCTCAGCCCAAAACAGATGCTAAATGTAAATCACTCCATTTTCAGGAGGAGGGCATTCTGCTTCAGTGACTCTGACACTTTCGTTTTCTATGGAATGAACTGAAACTTCAACCAAAACCAAGCTACTTGCCCAAGGTAGGCACCTTGTTAAGGTCCAATCAATTACACTGATTCTGCAGGTTAAAAACGAAGCTGGCTTGTGGCTGGCTTTTGTATGTGGCCCTTTGCATCAGTGAGGATTCACTAGTTAGGTGAACAATTCATCCAATTTATAATCTCCCTTCTTTGAGTCAGAGAATTTACCCACTAGGGTAACTCATTTAGAACTCATGGTCCTATTACCTAAATGATCAATTGTTAAAAAAAAATATGCTCATTGTGAAAACTGAGCTCAGAATATCCAAAAATCTGTATTTTAAAATGAAAAATGACATCTTGAAAAAATAACAGTGAGTCTGTTTTAGAGTTGTCTACACCAAAGAATGACCAAATAAATAAATACTTTTAGAGGCGCAGGGTGCAAAGGTACTTTTGCATTGATTGCGTTGCAAATCTTAGACAAAGGTTGATTCTGTATTTCATTTTGAAAGACGGCATTGCATAACAAAAGACCTGGTTATTTTACATACATCAGCCATTCTGGCGTTGGCTCAGCGTTTTCTCCTTATCCTTCTAACTGAAAAACAGGAAGGATTTTTTGCCCGTGTTGTAGGATCAGAGCATGAGTGTCAGGTAAGGCAACACAATGGATTTAACTGCTCCTTCCCCCTGGTAAGTTCTACGCAGCTGGATCAAAAAGCTGCAAACTAAGAAGGGTTTTCATGCTCATTACGGCCTATTGAACCACTGAAAAAAGCTGTCACTGCAGTCTCCTCAAGCTAAACATGCACAGTCTTCTTTAAGCCTGTACGTCGCACAATAGATAAGAACAACTCCTTCAAGGCTGTTGGGATTTGTTGTTATTCAGCGCTGGCATTAATAACCTCCCATTTGAAATCTCAGAATACATCTACCTGAATTGTTTTCAGGAAAACATTCAAATTCCCTGACTGGATTTTTCCTGCATGTGAAAGCAGGAGGTCAAAATTCACCTTTAATGTTCCAAGAATAATTAAAAATGTCTGTACAGCCCAGCTGTTTCTCAGTGTATGCTTGGGGTCTCCCCTTAGGTCTTCTCAGCCACCTCAATTTCCTCACAACCAGAGGAACATCTACCTCCATCTCTAACATAGTTCGAGTGGAGTTTGTACATTGCAGCTACTTTCATAATTGTTAGGGTTTCTACAGTAGCAAATGAAAACTCTCCTGGCTTCTTATGCCTCATGTATAGCAATTCTCAAGCCACCAGCATGGAATTTGTCTCTTATGTATGACATGAATCAACCTGCAGAGATGCCAACGCCAACTTTCAGAGACGGCATCTTTAAGTACCACTCAAATATCAAGGAGTCATTTACGTCACAGAGGCCATTAGCCACATCCAGTATCACATCTCAACCACTACAAAAGTGGGCAGGATTCAAACCTGGAAGAAGAAACCTGTCTGACTGTTGGCTGAAACAGGGAATTTTTAGACCACTTGGGCCTCCTCACCATCCGTAACTTCAGGACGCTGTAAAATCAAGCTGCATCATGAATCTATATCAACAGCCCTTTATCCAAACATAGCCTGTTGGATTTTGTTTGTTTTGGGTTTCTTTCACTATTAAAAATAATTTATTTTCAGCTCAGACAGGAACACATGGCTACAGGCAGCAGTTAAACCAACAGTTCTCATCTCTGAGATCTTGCAGGGGCAAAGACAAGAAGTCAAGCAGTCCCTATAATCCTTCTGGTTTCTTGCAATACTCATTCACTTGGGGGCTGCACACATCAAAATCCACAGTCTCTATGACTTCTATGGGGTTTTTAAGAGGCTCTCAGACTTGCTCTTAAAGCAGCAAAAGTCCTTTTCCTAGTGGCTTACAAAACTACAGCTATTTAACCCTCCCACCGTCACCGGCAAACACATGGATTGTTTCATCGAGGTCTAGCTCACTCTTGAATGCTGACTCTGAAGGGTCGGAGGTGGGCAGTAGCTGTGCTTATACACCAGGGCATCTCCAGGTTCTCTAAAAGCTACTACAATTCCTCTTCAGAAGAGCAGCTCTGTCTGTCACCCTCTAGCAGTTGATGAAACACATCCACACAACTGCTTACTCTGTGCTGTCTACAGAAAAAAGATGACCGACAGCTGAAATTCAAGAGATGCCTCACCCAGTGCTGTAGCAGCACAGAGACCCTACTGATGAGTATTTTCCAAGACAACTGGAGGATTCGGCATGACAAGTTCAGTGACTGCCAGTGCCCTCTGCAATCCTGCATCAGCACAAGGCTGAACTGTGGCTCATGGGGAGCATCCATACCACCTTCCCCCAGAGACCCCTTTCATTGTAATCACCCCAGATTTCCCTTACACCCCTGGAAAGACTACAAGTAAGTGACTCAGGACAGGAGGAAGCTAAGTCAGGTGACTGAATTACCCATTAAGGACTCTTCATCAACAGATACCTGAGCAGATCAGCCTCCCAGTCCAGACACAGAGAATAACTGCTTAAAATTTGGTACTCTGAATGCTCACATCAATATCCGGCCTCCATTAAGTACAAAGGCACTGGGGGAAACTAAAAACTGTAGAGACTTGAGGAAGAAACAATGTTTAACTCACCCTCTTCCAAGGGAGATCAAAACAGGCTTCTCCATCCCAATCAGAACTCGGAAAGCTTCATTAAGGTTTGCGTAGGTAAAGTTTTCTGCTGCATCTCCGATAACAACACAGTTTGGGTTTGTTTTATCGATCTCAGCAAATTCAGGGACAAGATCTACAGAAGGAAGAAAAAAAAACATAATCCACAAATATCTTATCATTTCAGATCCCATTGAAGCTGACTGTTTTCCTCCAGATTTTTGTTTCCCTTCACTCATTATACAACACATTAAAAAAAAAATTCAAGGCTGAACCAAGTGTTCTTCAGACCCCTCTATTCCTGACTGGATCCTGCTATTCATCTGTCCTACAACATGGAGCAAAATAAACCATTTCCTATGCTTGCCTTAGCTCCAACCACCCACATCTCAGTGGCTCACGTACTTAGACCCAAGGCAAACTCCTGAACGAAAATGTCTGACAGCGAGGGCAGGATCCACCTACCCACCTCTTCCATACCCACATTCTACAGAAGAAAACACTTTAAAACTTCTGTCATGATAACAAAGACAGTATCCTGCACAAGACCTCACCTATCTCCTAGTCTCTGTGGTTCAGCAGCAGACTCCTCTGTGCATTTGCTGACCCCTAGCACAACTCTGTGCCTTCACCGTACCACTGCCATTCCAGAGACCTCAGGCCAGCCCACTAAGGTTTCTTCCACAGTCTCCATGGGTAAAGAAGAAGCTTTTCCCTCTAGGAAAACAACAGCTTGGAGCTCCCCCGCCCTCACGAGCTACGGGAACTCACTGCCCACATCTCCCTGGGCTGTCCCCCTGCGTGTCCCAGCATCTGCTGCAGCGTTGTCCCACCGTTGTGCACGAGCAAGTGCGGCCTCAGGCTGCGCTCCTTCAAAATGCGGCAGGCTGCTGGCGCCGGGGCAGTGACTTCGGCCACGGAGATGTCAAAGCCCATGCCCTGGAGCTTCTTCACAAAATTCTCCCGGGTCGCTTGGGTTTCGTTAGTGCAAAACCGCAGCTTCAGACCGGACGCTTTGATCCTGTTGAGTAAAAGCGGCAGAGGGGTTAGCCAGGCATGGAAAAGGAGCTTAGAGCATCAGCTTTGCTGTTCAACCCCCAACTTGGATAATTACATTAAAAATGCAAAGATGATATTCCAGAACAGGAGCAGGACCCCTTACTGGGACCAAGACACACCTAAAATATTGATTCTGGGCACTACAGCTGCAGTTTTCATGCACAGAGCCCCTGCCATAGCATGTAACTGCCCCTCTGGAGCAGAGAGCTAAGCTGAACACGGCAACACAGGTGATGCCCACCATCCCCAGGTTACTACAGTCTGTCAGGCACACATTCCCTCCACACATCAAAAAAAAAAAAAAAAACAAATCCAGTTTCTTTTCTTTAAACCGCTCCACCGATGTAGACGCGCAAGGCCCGAAGGCACTGCACAGCCATGAGTACAGCAGCTGGTGTGATATCCCTGGCCCTTAGCATTTTAACTTGGATTTTCACCTTTCCACTTACTGACCACCTGCTGCAGTGATCAGCTGGGGGTAAGAGGAAGGCTTTGCACTTCTGCAGACTCCAGGTAACAGGCCAGCTAGTTGTAACGATGCTTATATCAACACCGGGGTGGCTTCAGTTGCATCTAAAACTTAAATCTCTCATAAAACACCTGTGCTATTACTTGGTGGGTAACCCTGAAAAATACAGTACTTCAGCTGATTCATTTCTAAATGTTTACAGGTAAGTGGTTTCTCAAGGGAAGAAAATATGGCTCCAAGTGCCCAGAGCCAAGGACGTGGTTCCTGTGGATCACTACTCTGCAATCTTGTGCAAGTCCCCTGCCTCTGAGCAGCTTTGTTTCCTGACCCAAGCTGTGCTGACCTACTGGGGATGTCATGAAAAGGTCTCTTCTCCAAGGATCGGTTGTCAGTTATTTGGAAAACCAATGTATTTCAAAGTGGCCATGGAAAATGAGAAGCATGGAAAATGTATCACAACTTTTAAAAAAATATTTGTCAAAGGGACTGTCACTCAGCTCCTGTGCTATATTAAAATGCCCAATTTTTGTCAGTTTTAGTGTGAATTTGTACATAACTGTTTTTGAGGATCTGAGCTCATACAGGTTCAGATACTTAGGTAAGTTTGGGGCCAGGCTTATAAATCCTTATTAAAATACTATTACTTTTCTTTGTGTTAGGATGAAAAAGGACTCTTCCAGCAGGAAAACCTCTGCATCGATTCTCAAGACAACAAAACATGCTGGGTTCCTTTTCTAGGGAAGATGATCCCAACTAGTTGGTGCAAACACCAAAACCACCTTGAGATAATGCACCTGATGTTGAACTTTCCATCAAATGATTCTTAGAAATCTGGTCCTGACTCAGAGAGTCCCTTCTGCTCATTAAAACTGCACGCCAGTGTCTTCTTCAATAACGTTGGTGATTCATTTCTTTCTTATTATTTGTCTTTCCTAATCATAGGTATGTGAATTATCAATTACACTTAGTGGTTAATTGCCCTTCATAAAGATAGCTTTTCTATTTTAAATTAGGCAGTAAATATATTGTAACTAATAGCATCCACTTGTACATTATAAATATATCTTCATTGATTGGAGCAGTGAATGTGAGATTCACTCACAAGTTAATGAAGCAATTGAGTGAAGAAGTGCAGGGTGTACCCAGGGAATAATTATTGTTAATGAATTATGATGTGACCTTCTCAGAACAATGAACAATTGGTGTGACAGTGGGATGACAGTATTCCACATCTGTTATTCGAAACACGGTTTCAGATGTAGTTAAAAAGCAAAGCAGTGTAATTTGGATACATAACAAACTTTAATAGAGTATGCTGTGGTTAAAAAAATATCTTACTCTAAATGCAAAGCCTATCTGCACACTCTGAGGAAAAAAAAAAACATGATTCACAACTGCCTGGAAGCAGGCATTTGTTGAATCAGAATCTATTCTTTCTCTTCCTTAAGGTCAACAGAATGAATCCAGGAACAACACTAACCACTGACAAGCAAGCACCCTCATGGCTCAGCCTGGTGAAAGCAAAGACTGTTTTCCCATACTACAAATTTAACTTCCTTCTCAGAATTTTAGTTGAAAAACAGAGTTACACTTCTGAAAGGCGTGACCAAAGCTGAAGTAGTCTGGAGGCTTCCTGGACTGCTTCATGCCTTTGGGGCCATCAGTAACTACCTCAACAAACAACCTTAGTAAATGCTTAAGATCAGGTGAGGTCTACAAAGACTTAGGCCAAGCTGGTCAGAAAATGAGAGCTGTCTGGTGAAACGTTAAAAAGACTCTCAGAAATATCCTGGAACACTAAACAAAAGAAACATCATCAAGAACTCCAGAGAAGACTTATTTCTACACAAATACCTTTTCAACGAAAAGCTACCTTTTCCTTCAAAGTTAGTATCTCTAAAAAGATAAAAAAATCTCTAAAAAGCCAAACCCTTGTACAGTACAGTTACACTCACCGGTACAAGCATGATTATACACACACTGGGACAAATCCATCCCTCGATGCTCAGCACAGGGACTGTGAGTGGAGCCTGCAGGCCAGCATGCATCAGCAAACAACTATTAACTCAGAGCTTAAATAATTAGGGTGAGCTTTTAACAACAGTTCTACATGGAGGAAATCCTTGCTCCGCTGGTGTTTACAGCAAAGGTCTCCTTAAATTTCCACGGTCAGGTTTTACACCAGGACTAAGAGACACCTTGAAGGTCTCTGTCTGACACAGGCGAGATGCTTTGCACAGCGAGTCTGTACTGTACTGGGGCCACTGCAGCCAAACCGGCCAGCTTAATGGCAAACCTCGAGCTACTGAGCTGACCCAGCCACCAGTGTTCACATTTTTAGAAGCACGTGCAGAGCAAGTTACTGCAATTTCTAGTGCCAGCAAGTGTGCGGATGTTAGGAGAAGAATAAAGAACAAAATTTGTCCAGTGATGCCTTATACGATAGAGCAAAGGATTAGATATCTGCAAGTGCAGAGAATGAGGCAACAGCAGATAAAATGCACAACGCGCATTTTATCAAGCTCTCCAGCGTGTTACAGATTTATCAGCATCTGTATTACAGAAGCACAGGCACGCCCAGGAAATCCAGTCAATCTGGGCTTCAGCCGACTTCCATACATCGTGGCCGTGATAAAGATCCCACTCAAACTCCCAGAGCCCCAGAAATCAATCCTGATCAGAGCGCCAGCCGAGCGCAGGGGCAGGCAGCACCGCTGCGGGGACTCTGCGTGGTCCAGGTAGCTGTGGGCATCCCGAGCTCGCCTCCTGCTCCCCGCATGGGGCCAGCAGCAGGTTCACCATCAGACAAATCCACTCCGTTTCCAACCTGACTGCTCCCACCACGCCTAATGCCCACGAGCAGGAGGAGGGGAACTTGAACTTCACCCGCGTGCGGGGAGCTAGGTGTGAAGGGAGAGCCAATTCTGACTTTTTGGGATGTCACAAATGGCAAACGCTGCTAAAAGCATCTCTGCAGCAAAGGGAACTTGTCGGAGCCCCTCTCAGAGGGGACGGCAGAGCGTGCAGGGCAGCGGGGAGCAGATGGAATTGAAAGCGCAGCCCTCCGGCGGCGCGCCGGACAGGCTCCACACCGGCTGCTGAAGCAAAGGAAAAAAGTCACAAAAGAAACTTCCAAGCCCAAAATGATAAGCGGACAGATGAGCGCCGAACTACCACACCAACAGGTGGGTGGAGAGACTTTTTCTAAGCCTTAATAGAGGAGGGATTTAAGCCCGCTCCAGACCGAAACAACCGCTTGGTCTCCCAAATGATCCCTAAATCTAGAACTGGGGCACCCACCCGGCTCTAGGCATGCCGTGAGTACACGTATAGGGGAGAGGTGGAAATGAGGTTTTTAATTTCAGCCCCAAGCTGCCCCTCATGCTACGCCAGCTCTTTGAACTGACCTTTACCTCGTTCTGCCGGAGCAGGACACGACGCTGAGTGACAATGTCCCACAATGCAATTACCGTGCGTCAGATGAGCCGGTCCCTTACAAATCACCTCGAACTTTACACATCTGCTGGCTGTCAGCATCTGCCAGGTTCACTCACCCGAAAATAATGAAAAAACTCTCATTATTGTTCCATAACAGGTAAAGTGTTAGGACAATTATTAGACATCCTGACTGACCTTGCGCAGACTTAACCAACTGCCCTTGCCAACCTCTATGGGCAGCCTTTGGGCAAATAAAACACAAAAACTGTTCTTTTAGATGATGTAAAGGTTGTGACACTGGTAGGAAAATAAATGGCACCAGCATCTAGGCTGGAAGCCATCCCTCCTTAAATTCACATTGTCCTGCACATGGAAGAAACAACTAAGGACACGGTATAAGGCTAAACGTCAGACTTCCCATCTCTGACCACTCTCTTTTGTAGCAAAGGTTTTTCCTAACCTGAGAGCAAAAGGAGAGTCCTGCCCACAGCCAGCAAGTCCTGGGCAGCGGGGCAGAAAGCAAAACCCTGGAAGAAGCAACAAGCCAAAGCTTGGCCACTGTCCAGTGCTAACTTCAAAGAGGTTTGGAAGAGAGCTGGTAATGAGAATTCCAGAACTGGCTTTGTACCTGGCTTTTGGTTTTTCAGAGTTTTGTTTTGGTTTTGTTGTTGTTGTTTTTTTTTTTTGTTTTTTTTTTTTTTTAATTTAAAAAAAAAAGAAAGCATGATAAGCACTTCCTCTATTTGCCTCTTTTGCATCAGCTGACAAATACCAGCACGCTTCACTGTAAATTTGTCAGCACTCTAATACCATCTCTGAAACATGGGGAAATAACATGACCAGAGAATTATCTATCTGTGACCAAATAATAAACTAAAATCAGGACTTGTGCAACAATGCCATCTTCCCACCTGGGCAGGACTAATGCTTTCTTGTTGCCTTCTGAAAGGGACAGGGTGCTGGCCCTGCAGGTAAAGCATCTCCTGTCAAGATGAGATGAAACTGTGCCAAGACAAACTGAGCATAATGGTCAAAAGCAGAAATTACTTGCCTAG